AGCTAATAAAACTAACCTCTCATCAGTAATCTGAGAGGACACTGGCAAGTTACAATGATGAAATACAAGGAAAATCTGCATTAAGCAGGACCTCCTTAAATGTAATAAAGTGCTGATATAAACTGGTTTTAATGTTTCCTGCCGTCACAGGTCTCTCATCGATGCCTTTGTGTATATTAAATTACAGATTTATTAAATGTGAATGAGGTCTGATTAAAGTGAGTCTGTTTTGGATGCACTGAAGGTCCAGCGGTGTCCAAACAACTGAAGGGAGCAGCAGTTGCTGCCACCTGCAGGCCGACAGAGGTGCTGTGTGATGTTGGCTTTGCAGCCTGTTTATGACCTCAAACCATGAAGTGAAGTCCAGGATTGATCAAAACAGACACAGATGGACAGCAGCAGGATAAATCGCATCTCTCCTCATTTTGTAGTTTGAAACTTTTCTGCTGTAAAAACGTTGGCATTCTTATTTTCTCCTGGATATTTGGGATTAGTTGGATCTGACGAGTATGAAAACTCATCTTTATCCTTAAACAGGAAGTTGTTACATACTTTCTTTTTTAATTATGTTCTCATATGAAGATGTAAAACACACAGCTGAGCTGAATGAAGGTGCAGGAAAGCCTCAATGTGAAGCTCCAGAGTCTCAGGAGGTTTAGATAAGAGTGGCCTGATGATTTAGGACTTATATAGACTTTATGGATTTAACAGGGAGCCAATGAAGAGAAGCCAGTATAGGAGAAATATGCTCTCTCTTTCCTGTTAAAATCTGTTTGGGAGTTGCAAAAAGGCAGAAGAGTCTATGAAGTGTTAGTTAGTAATAAACCTTGATGGTTCACGCGTCCCCTGTTTGAAGTTCAAAGGTTAAAGCAAACTGAACTTAAGATCAGCCTCTTCATGGGTGCAGTGCATTTTCTGGTTGCTGTCATAAAGTCTCTAAAAAGACCTTAAAACATCTTTTATTCCAAGCAAAACATCAGGACCAAGGAGCTCATTGGGCTCAAGATCCATCACAGGTTTCTGTGAAGCACATTTTCATTTAAGGTTTTCTTGTCACTGATTGGTTGTTTTGCACAAACAAATGAGAATTAAAATAAATAGTAAGACTGATTTGACCTTGACATTGACCTTGATTATAGTTTAGCCGATCCTCGTGTGTATGTTTGATTAAATTCTGACCAGAGGAGTGATCCCTGGGAGCCCATCACTCCTTCAACTGGACGAGCTAAAAATCTGCTGACTTGGAATACACTGGAGTTTGTTTTTACACTACATGCTCTGCTCTGATATCTGTGACATTCATTACATCATCACCCAACAAAACGCCCATTCTGTGCATTTCATCCACCATAACTAACTAACTATGACAAAACCATCAGCCCATGTCACTGTAAAACATGATAAGCTGGCTCTACTTGAATTTGAATTATGCAAATTATTTTCCTAAAAATAGTAATGTTAACTTGATGGTGAGTAACACCAGCTTTACAGTGTACAGCTCCGAAGAAGGATGAACCTAAGAGTAGATCAGTGTTGAAAAAGGTCAAATTTTAAGTTAAAAGCACTTCATGAAACCTAAACCTAACCTAAATTGTAGATTCTTCTCAGAAATTAAACTCAACATTTACATTATGCATTTAACTGCAGAGATGCAACTGTTTGTGCCCCATTACTCACACTGTCCCAGGAACCCTGCTGTTATCCAGTTGGAACAACAGTCTCAGTCATGGTGGCCTGGTAACTACTGAGACAGCACATGCATGCAAACACACATACACAACAATCAAGATCCAAACACATAATAACTGAAATAAGGATGACAACATTGAACACTTAAAGAAAAACTATTTTTTGTAAAACTAAGCTTACCTGCACTGCCTGTATTTACATGATGTACACATTAAATAATTCTCAGTGTATTTAGGGATAATGGTGGTGCTGTTTGTCACTGATCTGTGATGCAGTGTTCTGTTTTAACACACACAAAATAAGTAAACTAAAATCTTCTTTGTTTTGTGGTGATTCTACATGTGTTTTTTTTTTTAACTTATTCTGAGCAGGTTTTAAGTATCGTATGACTGTTTTGTAGTTTTTTCCCTTGGTCCTCAGTTTTTACCTTACATCTCCTTGAAATCATTTTGTGTTTCTTTGTCATCAAACTCGAGTCATTTCTTTATCTCCTTGCGGCTGTTGTTGTCACTCTGGAGTTTTTTGTGTGTCTTTATTGGTGTTTTGCATTTTCATGCTCGTTTTGTCTCTGACTGCAGTCATTTTGAAGTCAGATTAAATGATTTTCTGGCTATTTGGAATCTTGTTTGTCATAATTTTTAAATCATTTTTAATCTTTGTGGTTGTGTTTGTGTGTGTGTGTGTGGTTGTTGTCATATTTACATTAGTCTTTCTCATCAGGACAGCCTGGGTCTAAAAACCTCTCTCAATGGGTTCATTTTTATAAAAACGCTCCGTTTTAAAATTCGCAGCTGCTGAAAATGACACTGATTGTGTTTCAGGATGATCAAAGATCAGTTTCCTTCTTGAGCTCTGACTCAAAGCCACGAGGAGGTAACAAGACTGCAGGCAGTCAGTGTAATGTGTAAAATGAACCTAAAGAGCAGCCTGACCAACATCCGAAGCACACTGTGTTTTATCTCTGTATACTTCACGGTGCCGTTGCCTGTGAATGATAGTTTTTCTTTGCTTCAGACTTTTTGCAGTCTTTCTGCAGATTTCCTTCTGTTTGTCTTTACAGAATAATTGCTGGGAAAACAGTATTAATTATGAGTAGCTGGCATCTCTCCCTGTTCTAGCAGCAAATTTTACTTGCAGTGTCAGTTCTGCTTAAAGAAATAAACCCATACAGAGTCATCATCACCTCTGCAGCTCCGAGGAGATTCTGTGGCCTTATAAAGCAGCAAACACAAGACACAGTCAGAGAGGAGCAGCTGCACAGGGAGCATTTACAGCCACATATGGTGGTTCTGTTTGGTTTGCTCTCCTGCCACTGGGTGGCCAAAATAAGACAATGCACCCTGTTTCTGATTTCAAGGAATACCTCAAAGCAGCCTAGCCAATACCAGACAGGTGTGTGTGTGTGTGTGTGTGTGTGTGTGTGTGTGTGTGTGTGTG